CGGCCAAAATTGAAGTATGATCTCTCCTATCTAAATTTTCTTCTTTTAAATAATGGTTTTTTGCCTTCAATTACAAAAGCTAAAGATAAACATTTCACCAATCCTATACATTTTCTTGAATATTACGATCTCTTAAAAATTCTCAGGTACAATTCGCATTGCCTATCTCTTAATCAAACAATCTATTCGCGTCTTTGTTATTCTATATGCAACAAATACTTTCTAATTCTTACTTATTTGACGAACCATAAAAGAACAATGCATCCTGCTAGTCGTGAACAACCTAAGGAAAAGCCAAAAAACAATTTAAGAATTCTTAAAGATTTCTCTCTTCTTCTATCGTAACAAAAGCAACCTCTTCTTAACAAAACGTGTTTAAGAGAATGCATATCAGATATAGAATGATCATATATAGCTAATTTTTTGTCGAATATAATTACTATAATACAATAAAAAATAAATATATATTCTAAGCCACTAATATCACGTGATTAATATTTATATATGTAACCTAAGATCCCACCCCCTAAAATATTAGGTAATATATGTCATTGCCCTAATTGGGGGGGTTTTTTTTATGATCATCTCAAAAAAGGTTTTCCTTTATTTTTAAACAATAAGAAATGGAAAATAGTTCAAAAACCACACCTAATCCGACAACTTTTCTCGATTTGCTTAACAATACTTACGATGATGCCGATTTAGTTCATATGCTTGCAGAAGCTACTGATCTAACGTCTGCAGCTACCAGAAACTCGTTCGATTTTCGTTCAAACTTTGAAGAACCGGGCTTTAACCAGCCAGAATCAACAGAATTTCAGAATTTTGGTGAAAATTTAGATCTTGTTGACGAAGATGCTGAATATGAAGCTGAATATGAAGGAGGAGGATTTGAAGAAGGAATATATTTTGAAAATGAATACGTTGAAGATGAGTTACAAACTGATCTAATTTACATGGAAGAAGATATGCTTAGTAGCATTAATAAGGAGAAGCTACAAAAAGGATCATTTTTGGATGCAGAAGAAAATGAACAGATGAACGAGGTAGTAGAAGAAAAAGATGAAGAAGAAGAAGAAGATGATGATGATGATGAGAAATACTTGTCAGACAATTTTGGGTAAAATTTATAGATTATATTATCTTTTTTTATATCAATAAACATTCGACGAACATTGGTGTTTATATAGTCGTCTCCTATCACAAGCTGAGGCTATTGGCAGTGATTTAACCAAAGGAGATTCTGTTCCTCATCTTTGGCAAAATTTGGAAAAAGAATGGACTGAATTTAATCATGATTTAAGACTCACTAGTGGGATCGGAAGGATAAAAAAGGGAAAGGTACTCTTGTTGATATGTGTTACTTGTTTAAGGAATTATTTTTGTAAGATCCAATTAAGTTAAGTTCTACAGATCATTGTTCGGGTATAGAAAGGTCCAAGGCCTCGTAGTATTCCGCCAAATCTTCGTGCCTTGGTTGGAGAAGCTAATTTACATTATGTAAACAGAGATTACCCAAGAGCAATTGAAGTTCTTCAAGAGGTTATTAAAATAGATCCAAATATTCATTCTGCTTGGTTTACCTTGGGAACTATTCAGGATGAGATGGGATGCCCGGATAAAGCTTTACAATTATATTTAGTTGCCGCTCACTTAACACCACACGATGGTGCATTATGGAAGAGATTAGGTCTTCTAAGCAAGTTAGTTGATCTTTTATATATATTTATTTTGTACTCCGATAATGAATATTCCAATCTTCCTTATTTCTTAGAAATCATAATGCAGTTCATCAAGCTATTTATTGTTTCTCAAAAGCTATCAGATGTGATCACAATGATGTGGATGCTATTTGGGATCGATCAATTCTGTATTCGGAAATTAGAGAATTCAAAAAAGTATTTCTCTTTTATACGCTACCTTATGAGTTGAAGTGACTTGTTCAATCAATGTTTATTATGTAAATATTTTTTCTTTTAAAGGCGATAGACGGATTTAATGGCCTATTAGAAAAGATTCCTTATGATATGAATGTATTGCGAGAAATAACTCGTATTCAAGTACAAATGAATGAGATTCCCCAAGCCATTGACCTCTTTCTTGATGCTTTCGCATATTATAGAAATAGGCCTTTTCCAGAAGATCCCGAAGCTGAGGGAAGCTTTGGATATTCTGAGATAAATATAATGGCCGAGCTTTATATGCTAGCTGGTGATTATAATAGTGCTATCGATTTTATTAAGCGAGGTGTAAGATGGCTGCAGGGAAGAGAAAATGAAATATGGTGGGATTATATAAACGATGATCGCGAATATGACGAAGAAGAAAATTTAGATAGGAGAGATCATACTTCAATTTTGGCCGCTGCTCGACTTCGTGGTGCTAATAGCACTGGAGGCACAAATGCAACATTGCCTATCGAGCTTAGGGTTAAGTTGGGACAATGCAGGATTTCAACTGATCGACTTGAAGAAGGCAAAGTATGTATATACAATTTAACTTACTATTTTTTTTTCTTATGGAACTTAACTTATGCTGATATCTAAATTATTTAATTAGTTACATTTTGCTTATCTTGAGTCTTATGATGTTGAGCAATATGTAGACTTGTATTATGAAGTAGCTGAGACTTATACAGACAAGGGATTATTTGAAGATGCTTTGGCAATATATGAAGCAGTCGTTGTTAATGAATCTGTAAATATTTTATATTAATTTGGCAAAATTTAATTAGTAAGCAAGCATTAATTATTTAAATTGTTTTTTTTATGAATGATAGACAGATAAATCTTTTGCATGGATGCGAATGGGAATGAGCCATCGAGAATTAGGAAATCTTGAAAGTGCTGCCGAATATTTCGCTGCTGGTATACATTTTTACTATTCTGTGTATTTACCTATAACATTGAACTCTTTACAATTTATTTATTTAATCTATAGTTGTGAAAGAGTTACCGGACAATTTGGATGTTAAAATGGCACTTGCTGAAACATACGAAGATTTGGATGAAAAGGAAAAGGCGCTTGAAATGGTTAATGAAGGTATTTAATTGTTAAATTTTTTTTAAAATAATAAACAATGTTCTGTTTTAACACTTCAAAGCTTTTCTTTGATAGTCCTTGAAGCACGTAAAGAAAAGCATATTCAAACAGCAGCTGAATCTAAAGTGCCATCTTCAACCTCAAATCAATTCAGTGCTAGTTTTTCACGTAGTATACCAGCAGGATCATTACAGACCGAAGCATCCTTAATCCAGACTGTATCTGAAGAATCTAAAGCTAACGCTTTCGCGAGAGCGGAAGAAGAGCGCAAACAAAAAATAGCAGAAAAGGAAAAGGAAACAAAAATTCAGTTCCACAGGTTGGATCTATTATATGGTCGTTCTAGACTTGGCGATTCAGAATCAGCAATAGAATTTTTGGAAACCGCTAGGAATGTTGTTGTTGATTGGAAAAATAACAGAGCCTTTTACCCTCAGAGGGATAGGGTATTTTTCCTTTGATGAATTTTTTAATTCTTATCGTGTTACTGAAAAAAATATTTATTTATTTATTTGACTGCTTTTATCCATTTAAGATGCTTCCGTTTAAAGGATGGGACCGTCGAAGGTCCTGGAGAAAACAAGCGTATTTTGAAGAGTTAGAAAACTCTAATGATAATGATGATGCTTATCTAGACGAACAAGCAACTACAATGGCAAAAAGATTACAATGGCGCATTGGTTGGTACAAAAATAATGTATAAATAAAAGTTTAGCTTGTTTTTTGTTTAATTTACCAAACCCTACTTTAGATGGGGAGAAAGATGAATTAGAAGATGAAATACGCAAAAAAATTACCGAATTTAATGGTATAATTTTCGAGAAATGGTTTGATTTTTTTATCAAGGTTTGTGATAAAGTTTGTTCTGTTTCAAAGATTATAAATTTTTGTTTTATTTAAATTAGGTTGGTTTTTTAATTCTATAGTATATAGTTACATCAACAAAGAACAAATGTGAACAAGAGGCCTTTGATCTACTTAAGTTAGCTGGTAGAGCAAATGTTTTTTTCCACAATATTCATTATACAACTGTGCTCAAGTTGTTATCATTGGGTAAATAATAGATATTTATATAATTTTAATTTCATTTAATATGTTTGAAGCTATTGTTTTGAGATATATATATATATAGTTATTTATATATTTTATTATCTAGCGTGGGGTCTTCATACGCGTAATTTTTTAGTTGTATGCGAGAATGCAAGATGGCTATGTAATTATAAACCATTTAATAGTAATTTGTATGATTTATACGGAGCAGGGATGTCTAGGTATCGTAAAATTGGATTATTATGACAGTTTACTTGATTAATGGGTTGATAACATATATTTATTTATTAAATCAAAAATTAAATTAAAGCGGATCAAATGCGTTATCATGCTTTGCAGCCGCAAATTCCCAAAAATATTTTCTTCGTCAGGTCAAATTGATGGATACCGGTTTTTATCAGACTCCAATAATAAAAAGTAATTCGGAAAAATCGGAAGATGGGTCTAAACAAAAACATGTTTTGAAAAAAGCCAAAGTTCCAGAAAAACCAGTTGCATCATTATTATCACTCTATGGACATATTTTAGCATGTGCCAGAAGTTATGTCGGCGCAATCGGTAACTCTTATTCAAGAAATGTTTAAGCTTTCTGCGAATATATATATATTTGGTAATTTATTTAGGTTGAAACTTTTTATCTTATAGGATACTATTCTCGTGCATATTCCGTTAAACCGAAAGATCCATTAATTAGTTTGTCAATGGGACTTGCATATATGCATCGGTCTATGCAAAGAATAAGTGATAATCGACATTTACAAATTATGCAGGTATTATTTCTTGAAATTTATGTTTGCTTGCTTTATTTATTTATTTATTTTTAATAATAACAATAACAACATAATAATAACCTATTTTATAGGCATTTACATTTTTATATAACTATTATGAATTGAAAGGAAGAAACCAAGAGGCTGAGTATAATCTTGGAAGAGCTTTTCATGAACTAGGATTATATCATTTAGCAGTTCCTCATTACGAAAGATGTTTAGAGTTACCATCGCTCCAACAAGTTTTCAGTGAGCAAAAAGGAAAGGTATGTTAAACCTATTTTTCTTTCATATTCCTTAAACTAATTTGAATTTGAATTTCCTAGGGTAAATCACCTGAAAAAACTTCCAAAGAATACTCTATTGCGAATGATAATGATTCTACATGCCTTAGAAGGGATGCAGCATATAATTTGTCAATGATTTATGTTGAAAATGGATCTCCTGGTCTAGCAGCAGTATTATTGAAAAAATATTGTACTATATAATTGGTGATTTAGGTTACTTTTTTATCACCGAAAACTGAAATTTGTATTTATGTAGTATATAATAAAATACAAGTCCATCAAATGTAAACGGTGCGACATTTATCACACCCATACTAAAAATGTTATTTGTCACCCACTACGTTTCACATAATATTCATACCAACCTTTTCTCGAAATACCCTACCCAATTTTATGAAGTTATCATTATTCTTCAAGGAGGATAAAAAATTTTATTTTGATTGTGAACTTCACGTTCAGTATTATTTGTTTAAGGTTTATAGGCTTACAAATTTTCCCCCATGACCATCAAAAAACCACCATCGACAGAACAAATATTAAATGTTTAGCCATAGATAACACAAATAATCGATTGCACGTATCAATAATGGATCATTTAATTTAACAAAATAATATGCATGATAAATTACTTATTTTTATTGTTTGTAATAATTTTAATAATTTTAAATAATTTAATTTTTTTTTTTTCTATGGTCATTGCGAAATATCACGTGAACATTTCATTTTTCCGCGCAATTTTTATTTGTACCAAAAAATTACACCTTTTTTATATAATTTTTATATAATTTTTCACCTTTAAATAGAGATCGATTTTGAAGATCAACTTTATTCATATGTTAACAATAGCCAAAATGTTACATTTTAGGTACTTGTAATAAATAATGTTAATATCGCAAAGAACAATATTCCATAAAAAAAAATTTTTGCTTATAAAGTTTAAGTTTTGTGTCCGTCATGCGAGTCACTCAAAATTTGAATAATAACAATTCTTCAAACATCATCGTAGACATACAAAATAACGAAAATATTACAAGTAATCCAAGCAAAATCTTAGCTCCCGCCGAAACTGACTCTGCAACGTCAGCTGCGTTGTTTCTGGACACAACTTTGAACACAGACCCCAATTTTAAAAATACAGATTCGGCTGAAGAGTCTTCTATTTCCGATAGTTCTTTCTCAGATTTATATCATCCAATGACGGTTACAACGAAGGCTACGACGACTTCGACAACTGCTTCAATTTCAAGACAACCGGATAAAAAACTTAAATATGGTTTTTTATCAAGCTTACTAAGTAGTAACGGTTCTTCCCATTCTATATCTTCCACGTCGTCTGGTACAGATGTACAAAAGAAAAAGTCTTCAAGTTCAACTGAATCAAGTTCTAAACAAAAGTTATTCAAGTCTTGGGGAAATACTCAAGATAATGAATATAAGAACATAGAAAAAGCCTTATCGAAGTAATATATATATTTATTTATAATTTCAAAGATAATTGAACGAATGATACCAATCGATGATTTCTTATATTTATATTTCAACAATTATATAGATTTCAGTCCAAGGATCGTCATAAGGTGGATGTTTTAAAATCGCTAATCCCTTGGCTCAAAAAATATACAACAGGTAAAAAATTTTTCCTCATTGTCATTTATTTTTAGTAATCTATCAATTATTATTTAATAATTAATAAATATATATCTAAGTAATTGCAAAAGACAAATATTTACAGCATGGCCGCGTCATTTTGTTAAAGTGGTTTGTATTTTTTTTTTTTTTTTTTTTTTCATTTCATTTGTTATTTTCTTGAGAAATAAAAATAATTTAAATAAAAAATTCCTGATCTTTTTTAAAAGGTGGAATATATTAATTTCTAATTTACCGAATGCGGCGTACACGGATCGTAGCCTTTATTTTGAATGTATTCTATTGTTAATGACTAGGTATCTATATTTTTTATACAATCGCTGGATATGATTTCAAAGTTTTTGATTTATTATTAACAAACATTTCATTTTTAACAGAAATGAGTTTGAGGACTTTGGCAAGTTATATAGCATTTTTATTTCATTTATATCAAGAATTGTATTAGTTCGTATTTGACATAATTCTTATAATGATTAATATTAATACAGACCGGATAGGGCCAATTCCTCATATGGACACCACAGATACATATATGGACATTCCAATTGATATCATAATAACATATCGTGCTGCTTTAATGTCAACTTTGCATTATGCAATTGATAGACTTAATCAAAAGGGCGTTTATTCAAATGTAATTTCATTTTGCGCGCGTGTTTTAGGTAAATGAATTAAAATTAAAAGTTAATAATTTTTTATTCGCTTCATAATCTATAATTTTATTTATTCGTTTATTTAATTGTCAGCCTTATGCTTCTTTAAAATTCCTGGTGTTGGATTTGCTTTATTGCAGGCATTGCCAGTAAGCAAATCACATATCAAACGAATAATAAAGGAGACGGTCGGTGATGACGATTCAAGGTGACATTGATTTAGATTATTTATTATTTTCATGTTTGATTTAAGTCACTAATTTCTTCTTATGACGTTCAATTATTTATTAAATAACAACTTAGTCTCGATCGTATGACAAAACAGAATGAAAAAATTTCTACTTTGTTCCCTGAACATTTGAAAATTTTATGCTTCTTAAATTTAAAATTATGGTGGCGGCAGTTTGAAAATGCCAAACGCATTTGGGGTGAACCACCTATAGAAATGAGCGGGAATTGGATAAGGCGGTAAGAGTTACTTTACGATTAATTAACGAGAGTTGGACAATTATACATGTTGTATTTACTAATCTAATTCATTAATAATATAAAGTTGGCAGAGTGATGACAGTGAATTGTTTTTTTCGTTTTATAAACATTATCATATCGTACTCAAAGCTTACCTCGCGTCGCATTTAACTGCTTCCGGATCAGTTAAAATCATGACACCTCCGTTTGAGTATATAACCGCACCAGGTTACATTCACCTAGCATCATTTTTTCTTCTAAAGATCGAATCACTCATACATCGTAATATACATACTATTACGACGGTAATTCAGTTTGAACATCCAAGGGGGAATGGAAATGCCAATAACGTTAATCAAGGAAGTAATAATGGAATAACTAATGCCATGAATCCTAATGCAGCGGCTATTGGGATGGGATCGTTACCTACCACTAGCATTAATGGAGTTGTCGCAGCAAATGCAGATGCGAACGGAAACGTAGCTTTAGGAATGATGAACGGAGTTACTGTTGGTAATGGAAAGCCCAAGGTTTTAGAAATGGCGGGCCGGAGATTTGTTGAGACCGTGGTTTCTATAGTTGAGATCGGCTATTTCCAAGAGATGTGTAACATTTGGATTAATGCTGTGGTAACGAAGACAAACATGTATGATGTTGAAGGTGTATTTTGTAAGTATAATTGTCAACATTTTTTTTTTTTAAAAATTTTTTTTTTAAAATCGTTTTCCTTGTAGGTTTATTAGATTTTATTGACACATTAATTTTGGAATTGGATGCTAGGTATTCTATTATTTTAGTTTTAACTGTAGGTTTATTAATCGTTATTATTGCAAAGATTCAAATAAACTTTTTTTTACCGGAATAGAGATAGTATTGTTTCTTCAGAGTCTACATCATCCAATTCGAACAGTGCTAGTTCAGATGGTTCATCAAGTTCTCCATTCACCGCACCAAATCTTATAAACATACTCGATATTCCTTCTTATATTTCTCTTTTCAAGCTTCTCCTCGAAGAATCAGATCACACCATTACTATTCTAAGGACAATAAGCTTTATTTATACACATTTTTTTCTTTTAACTTCACAACCCGCTTATCTCAAACAATTAGTTAAGGAAATACTTTTAAACGAGGATATGTTTGAAAGATTATTTTGTCATTGGTCAAGAAATGTGAGAATATATTATATGCGCTTGTTAGTGTGGCGTTTAGGAAAGATTGGAGGCGGAGTCGGAAAGCACGATGATAATAAAGATCGAGAAATTAGCGATAGCGGCGTAATTATCGAAGATAACGAAGAAATAGTGATTGAGTAAGTAAATAAAAATCATAATGTTGTTTTGAATGTTTAATTTTTAATTTATTAATTAAAGAAATCAAAAAATTTTCCCAGTATTTTAATCACATTACAAAGTCGCCTAGATGGTATGCGACTATATCATGAATTTCTATCCAATTATGCAGGAGACATGGAGGATGTGGAACAAGTTTTTAAGGCAAAAATGGCTGAATCAATGGCCGAATCAATGACTGAAGGCAATTCAAACCAAATTTACAATAGTAATAATGAAGAGTTACAAAAACAATCAATAGTTGAACCTCAAAATGTGTCATCATCATCATCTGTTTTGTCTACTTCAACTTCAACTATTTCATCATCTATACCAAATAAAAACCGTAGATCAAAACTGCCATTTATCCCATCTGGCAAAGAAACGACAGCATCATGCTTTATTCGTTGGATGTTTCCAAGCGGATCGAACAAATCTTCCAACTCTAATAAGTTGGAACAAAAATCAACGGCTCCGTCACCAACGTCACCTACTTCGCCAACGACACCATCAATTCCTATACGCACAACAAGTAAACCAACAATACATCCATTAGTATGGCGTTATGCCTTTCACAGACATACATATGCAGGAAAAGCGATATCAGAGTACGAATCTGTTAATCAAGAATATGCTGAGTGGTGTGCACAAGTTGCAAATGTTGAAAGAGAAAATTTAAGTAATGGTAATGAAGTTAATAATATCATTTCCGGAACTAATTCTACAAATTCGATGACGATTCGATTTCCAGGGTTGATAGTGGAATATCCGAAATATTTTGGAAATGGGTTTGCAAATTCTCCATTGATTTAGATTCTCACCGTTATAAGACATTTGTACATTTGTTTTTATTATTTTTATTTTTTTTCCCGTTTTTTTTTTTTTAATTTATTACTTTATTATAGAACAATAATTTTTTTTTTTTTTGGTTTTTAGTTTTTTTTTTTTTTTTTTCTTTTTTTTCTTTTTTTTATTATTATGATGATATATTTTATCCTGTCTAACAATTAACTTTGCTCTCGGGGAAAATTAATTTAATTGAAAGCAGAAAATTTGTATTTATATTATTATTATATTCATAGACAAAAGCATTCAAGATCAAGGATTTTGAAAATAAAAATATTAACCGAACTAAATTTGGCCCGCATTATTATAATTACTACCAAATTTAAAAAGTTTATTAATTAAAATGCTTACTCATACATGAAATAATTTTAATCCATCAAAATTATATAAAAAATAAAATGTCTGTAGAACAAGATATTGTTATTAAAAATGAAGAGAGTCAAGAGCAAGATACCTCTTTGATCCTTGATAACCAATATGTATTTATACAATTACCAAGTGGCAATATCAAAGTTGTTAAACTTCAGAAGGATACGTGAGTTATACATACTGGTCAACTCATTTATACTTTGAACATAGTCATTATTTCGAATCTAATTTAAAAAATAACATTATTAGCACTGTACCATTAGGGAAGTTTGGAACGTTTCATTCAAATGATATAATAGGACGACCATTTGGTCATTCTTATGAAATTTATGATCGTGATAAAGTAAAAGTTATAAAAAATGTAGCATTCCATGAAATTGGTAAATTAAAAGTTTCATCGAAGTATTAATTTCTCATTTCACAATTTTTTTTTTTTTTTTTTAGTAATAATATTTATTCTTACGTTCTATTTAGATGAAACCAGTGCTAACAATAAAGAAATATTAGATGATCCGTCTAAACAAAAATTATCTTATCAAGAAATTGAGAAATTGAAAAAGCAAGGATTAGAAGGACAGGTGAGTTATATGAACATTAAAAGGCAATATTTAATTTTTTGACAGGTATTTATCTCATCATCATAATATATTATGATCTTAATTAGGATATTATCAAGAAAATGGTAGAAAGTCATTCAGCTTTTGATCAAAAGACTGAATACTCCAAAGCAAAATATATCAAACGAAAGGAAGCAAAGTAAGTTATATTTAAGTTTGTTATTTATTGCCTTTCATTTTCACAAATTCTTTTAATTATCTATCCTTTTTTTATTTTAAAGATTTTCACGCGTTTTCACACCGGTGAGACCAACATTGTATTCTGTCTGGGAGTATTTTTTCTCGAAAAATCCCGGTAAAATAAGGTTAATAAATTGAAATATATATACATTTGGATTTGATGTTTGTTAATAGCTCAAAATAATATGAGATAATTTTATGTTTAGGGATATGAGAATTGATACATTATCCCAGATATTAACTTTGGTCAATGTACGAGCCGATACGAAATTGCTTGTGGTAGATGACACACAAGGACTTGTTATTACAGGTGTTATGGAGAGATTAGGAGGTTTGTTAAGTCGAAGAAATTTGAGAGAACCTTAAAAAGATGTTTTGTATAAAAAATAATTAGAGATGTTCCTTTTACTTAGGTTATGGTACTATACTTGGCATTCATGATGGTGAAAATCATAATTATGATATCGTGAGGTTTATGAATTTTTCGAAAAATGTTAACGATTCATTAAAGACATTATCTTGGCAACAAGTATTTAAAGAAGAGGCGCAAGGTAGAAGAGAAAAAAATCTTATAATAATTTATGTAGAACCTTTTTGACCAATTTTTTTTTTTTTTTTTTTTTTTTTTTTTTTTTAGCATCATTTAACTATCAAGATGAATCAACCTTATCGGAAAAGGATTTAAAATATTACCTTCGAAGGAAAGCAACTTACGAAAGAATAAGGGCCGCGAGAGAAATTCTATGGAAAGGTGGATTTGATGGGTAAATTATTTAATGCTTTTTATATTTATCTGTTACCTTTTTTTTTGTCTCATATTCAAATTGTGCTAATTTACAACTAGAAATTTAGTTTGATAATAGCGAGTCAATATCAACCCGAATCTATTCTAGAAGCATTGATACCTTATTTGTCTGGATCAAGATCAATTATTATTTATCATATTAATAAAGAGGTTAGTGATATTTTAAATTTCTTTTTTCTTTTATTCCCTAACTAATGAAATCATTGCTCATACCCTTTAACAATATGTATAGATGTTGATTAATGCGTGTGTATACATGAGGATATCCAAAAGGTTTTTGAACCCACAAATTACGGAAAGCTGGTTGCGTCCATATCAAGTAATTATTTATCACCATATCATAAATTTCATAATCTTTTTCTTTTTAATTGAGACATTTATTGTCATAGGTTTTACCGGGAAGAACTCATCCTTCGATGTCAACAAGTGGAGGTGGAGGATATTTATTACACGCAACTCATATAATTATTGATGATTCTCTTCCTAATCCTATACCTTCTTACATGAAACAAAAAGAACAAAAAGGTACTTTGGAGAAGGTTAATCAATCTTGTGATGATAACACAATTACTTTGACTGATCAAAATTCGATGAATATTGATGAGAATAATGTAAAAATTTTAAATCAAAATGATACGACTGAAGCTAATTTGAATATCAATGGGGAAGAAGAATTACATCAATTAGATAACAAAAAAATCAAATTAGATTAGAAACTTTTTCGAAATAAATTTTATAAATATTTTTTTTTTTGATCTGATCTTTCCATTTTTTAATAAATTTTATAATCACCTGACGATTAAAACGTTCACACGGTTCATCATGAGAAATTAGTTTGCGATAAGTTTTCTCTCATGTTTACACTTAAATAAATTGAAATAGACTTCAAAAAACTTCCAATAAAGTTTTTTAATCTTCAATTTTTTAGAAAATATATGAAAATTTACAAATTAAAAATATATATATATATATATAAGGATAATATTAATAAAATATATTAATTTTTTTATCGGTCTTTTGTATAATTTACACGCAAATGAAAATAAAAATAAAATAAAAATGACCCATTCTATTTAAATTTTAGGAAAAAATAATCGTCATGAAAATCGAAACACAACATTTTGTTCCGTTATACAGTGCGTATCATCGTTAGGCAAAAATCCCTCAAAACTATATATTTATTTATCCGTTTATCTTACCATATAATAGTGTGATTTCCCTTATTCTTCTAAACGTTTATGGACATATTAAATGTAATTTTTTATTTATATACCTTCAGTCATAAGAGGGTAAATAACACTGAAAATCATAAAAAAAAAAATTTTTTTTTTGGTATAAAAGTATCACATTGGAGGTTGTTTTAACAAGTATTCTTTGTTTTTTGGGGGAAAATCCGGATTAGTTCGTAAAGCAAAACAAACCAAAATTTTTAATTTATTTTTTTTCATTAACATACCTTCACATAAACTTTTTAAACAATCTGAACAATCCGAATCAAATTTATTACAACCACAGCCACACATTTGCACACCATCTTCATCCAAGGTGACAGTGTGCTCAGGCTGAATAGATTGAATGATCTCGGGAGAAAAGGAAGAACAACATGAATATTTTGGACGACCTTGTTGAGAAACTTGAGAAATTGTATTATAAGAATCTCCAACTCTTTCCGCATGAGCATCACAACCTTCACATTTACATCCTGAACCACATCTACAAATTGGCATCACTGTTGTAGAGTTACTACTACCACAACAACTTCCATCTTTCATGGCAGAAGAACAACTTTGAAATGGTTTATAGATTATATTGACCAAATCAGCGGAAGTACTATGACAAATTTCTTCACCTAGAACACCAGTTTGATCATGAGTTCCCAAATATATATCATCATCTTTATTATTATTTGAATATCCTTCCTCTAATGAATTTTGACTATAAGAACTTGTAAAAGGGTTATTCAAATGTGAATTGTTTCTTCGTGCGAAAGAAGGATAATTATGACTTGAATGCGTTCCTTCATTATTGTTATTAAGATGATTGTCCCAAGATACAAAAGGAAGTTGCGAATTATTATTATCAAGTGGAGAGGGGATTGGTGGCAACATAAACCTTGGAGTTTGATCCGATGATTTAGTCATTCCTAAATTATTGTGATTAGCATCATATTGTGGTTCAATGGGTCGACAACAAATACATTTTGCTCCAGTTAGACATTGACACGGGTTCAGTAATGCACCCACTGAAGTCTTATCCTCTGAAGTAGGCCCATTATAAGAACTTTGATTGTCAGTGATATCATCTCTATTGGGAATTCCTTGTGATAAAATTGCAATAGCTTGAGGTTGTGGCAAACGTGCTGAAAAATTAAGAATAATACAATCATTAATTAATTAATCAAAAATGATTTATTTTTTTAAAGGAAAAAAGAAAAATTAATCAAGAAAAATAATCACAGACTTTCTTCCTTTTTCCTTTCGAGACAATTACATTTCACATGAACTTTCTGGGTTTTACGAAGTTCACGACAATGTGAACATTGGGTTATAGGTCGACCTTTCCTTTTGATAACAAAGAGTGGTCGGTCAGAATGCTGACAAGCGGTAGAACGATGACCTTTAATGCACGTTGCACTATTTTACAAAATAAACAAACTGTTCAAAGTATAAAAAAAAACAACCGTAAAGAAACGCATTAAAAAAAATTTAAAGTACCAAGCGTATTTAACACCATCAATAAAAACCATTTCTACAAGCAAACCCAGAAGGGCGCTTTCCGTACTAGGAAGGTTAAAATTATACTATACATTAGTCTCAAATCGATATAATATATATACATATAAATAAATATATATATATATACCTAAAATTTGTAAAATTTGCAATAATAGAGAAATTTTATTTTTAGGGAAGCTTTAATATTAGCAGTTTCTACTTTCTTTCTCATCTGCCGACAGGCCGTGCCAATAAGGCAAATTATTATTGTCAGTTGCTAAGCTTTATAATAAAGCTGGAATGTTTTACAAAATGATTGAAATTCATTTATGTTAATCCATATTCATTATATTAATTGATTTATCCGCGACACAAAAAAAAAAAAATTATTGCTAAATCGGGAATATCGGATGTACCAATCGTACCAATCGGGCCTTGCATGGAGAATTTAAAGTATCATTTAGTTGATCATCATCTCAAATTTTTAATTTTAAATATATAAAGTTATTAAATTATATAAATATATTTTAAAAATAGTATTTTTTTAAAAAAAAATTTATTAGCAAATCTAAAAATAAAAATATTGAAAATAAAAATTATGTTGGATTTTATATTTAAAATAAAAAAAATTAGTATAATTATAAAATAAAATTTATAAAAATTTATTTAAAATTTAATAATAAGCTTAGCTGTTTATGACTAAATAATATAATTATATTATTTAGTCATAAATGGCTTAGATTAGGTTATTTAGTAATAAAATAATCTAGGTATAACTAAATAATCTAAATATGAATAAATAATCTAAATATGATTAAATAATCTAAAGTTAATAATCTAATTATGATTAAATAATCTAATTAAATAATCTAATTGTGATGATTTTTTATATCTACCTATTTTTCTTATTATATTTCTTACCTTTAAAATCGAATTTCTTTTCCTGTTTTTTATTTATTATTTGTGATTATGTGATTAAATAATCTAATTATGACTATGAATAAATAACCTGAATATGCTTATTTTTATTAGTGTTTACAATATTATAAATACTTTCTAATATATTTATGTTTTACAGCCTTTTCATTACCAATTTGATACCTTTTTGTTTATACTTATCTCTATCTATTTGAGAGTTAGTTTTTATATTGGAGATACTGGCTTTCTGTACTAGTTTGAATGCTAGTTTTTTATTGAGAGTGTAATCTATTTAGTTGCCTTTCAAAATAACAAAATAGTGTAAAAAAAAATATCACGTCAGGTGGTGCAGTAGATCTGTAATTAATTTCAACTGACACTATGCTATAATTTTGGCTAAACTTTAGAGTATGTAATTCGAGAATTTAGCTTGAAAACATGATAGAGCTATAATAATATCATGAAACTCTCTTAGAACTATCATAGAACTGGCAGAAAATCAGAGTATTTCTATTTGTTCGCCAGTTTCAAACCACTTTGTATACTAGTTTAGATGCTGAATTATTATGTCTAAAGATCTAGCCAAAATCATGGAATAGTATTAGCTGAAATTTTATTAATTTTACTGTGTATATTGTACTAGTTACGTAACTTTCACTGATCTACAAGTTAGAGAATTTGAAATGCAAAATATAAAATAATTGTGTATTACCATAACTGGCTTGCATCATCTTACAATCCAACTATTACCTATTTGTTGATGGTATATTAGTAGGATGTTGTAAGTACTTTTGAGATCCGATCATAGTTTAATCTGAGTTGAAATAATGAGTATACTATTTTTCTAAGTATCCCTATGAAAATTTTCTATTCTTATAAGAAAAATTTATGAGAACATTTATAAAATCAATCTTAATATCATTTTTTAGGCTTCTTAGTTTGTTTTATTAAGTTTTTTATCACTTTTTCTCTATGTTCCTATGAGCCCTATAAAATATAAAAATTCTAAAAAAAAAAATAAAATTTTTCTATGGTATACTACTTGAATAAATATAGTCATATATATAGTTGATATAATTAATATATAGTCGATATATGGTATAAAAAAAATAAAAAAAGGTAAAAAGTTTGAAAATTCATAGGGCTCATAAGGCTCATAGGGTCAAGTAATAAAATTATCTTATCAGAGTTCTAAAAATGTCAAAGAAAATATTTCTGACATTCTTATTAAGTTTTTTTACCATTCTTATAAAAATTTTATGAGAATATAGGGCTAAATTTTTTGAGCGTTATTAGTATTACCAGTTAGTATACAGAACTAGTGATAAAATTAATGACAGGTTTGTTATCTTTCTTAAGATTATTAGATTATTTTATTTCTTTCTTGATTAGTATCACTAATGTTACTAGTAAAAAAGTAGTAATTTCTAGAAAAACATCAAATATTTTCTATGCTATTCCTATAGTCCATATGAAATATAATATGATGAATGTATAGTATATGTACACTCATCTAGCAAAAATGACCGACCAACAATAATTTTGCGATTAAATACCTCATTTTTAAATAAGTATATT